CTTGGCAGAAACTTGAAGACATGCCAGCTCAGGCCCAGATGCATGTTGTTACATTTTTTTTTCTTATATGCTTCTAGTTTTATGTGTTACTAGTGTTATTCCATTGCTGTATTTCCTGTCATTACTTCTAAAATCAGGGATGTAGGGGTAGAAGGATCTCTGCCTTACATGGGGTTCCACCATTGAAAATGTCCTTGACTGGAGAAAATGGTGCTGTCTGCATGTGCATAGGCAGGATATCAGGGGATGGTGGAAGAGCAGAGGGCACAGGGTACTGGGTGAAGTAAGAGAACAATAGGTAAAGTAAAAGTCTATCTTCATTGACCAGAGAAAGACACAGGGAATATGGCTCAGGTGAAACAGCCTCTGGAAGTGCCACATTCTCAAGAAGAATTTTTTATAGACACCCCAGCACTTAAATGTGATTTCTAGTGCCATCTACTGGGAAGCATAGGAGCCAAGTGAGACCTGGGCTAGAAAAACAAAACCAGCCAGGCGCGGTGGCTCAAGCCTGTAATCCCAGCACTTTGGGAGGCCGAGGCGGGTGAATCACGAGGTCAGCAGAACGAGACCATCCTGGTCAACATGGTGAAACCCCGTCTCTACTAAAAATACAAAAACTTAGCTGGGCATGGTGGTATGTGCCTGTAATCCCAGCTACTCAGGAGGCTGAGGCAGGAGAATTGCCTGAACCCAGGAGGAGGAGGTTGCGGTGAGCCAAGATCGTGCCATTGCACTCCAGCCTGGGTAACAAGAGCGAAACTCCATCTCAAAAAAAAACAAAAACAAAAGAAGAAAAACAAAACCATGAGTCCAGCCTTCAGTCACTTTAAGGGGGCAGATTTATTGAGGCTGGATTTTTTTGTCCAAAGGAGAATATCTACGAAGACTCTTAGGAAACATCTGAACATCTTCTCTGCTGCTCTTACACTTAATGCACATGTGGTTGCTGACTCATGCACGTGCTGTGTAATTTGTTCTCCTCAGCTAGTTGGTGAACAGAACCTGTGTCTTTTTCCTCTCTGTATCAGCACAAGCATAGTGTCTGGCACAGAACAACCTCTCCAAAAAAAAAAAAAAAAAAAATGACAGTTGAGTATAAAAAAAGAAAAATCCAACTTAACCATTATTTTTATTATCAACCATTTAGCTGTTAACAAATCTGCAGGAACCAAATGGTAAGACAAGCCATAAGACAGAAACTGGATGACTTATAATTTACTAGACTTTGAGCTTTATGAAGCAGTACTTGGGAGGTACACTCGGAGCCAGTTATACCAGGGAGTGAAGGAGCTGTGCCCCATGGAGGAAATCGTCCAATGCAACAAGCTGACTCCTCACACTACTGACATTCACTCAGAGGGCAAAGAGCTAAGGTGTGAGCTAGAGTGAAGGTGGGAGGGAAATATATTACCCTCCAGGTGACTGGAGGTGACTGCTCCAGGTGAATTACCAGGTGACTGCTGTTTGCATTTCAGCGCTAAGCCAGCAGTCGTTAATGAGTCTAGCAATTTCCTCCTCACCTTATAACATATCCATCCACAGGACCTCTACCACAGGCGTCCTCAATTTTGGCTGCAAAACAGCATCCATCACCTAGAAAGCTTTTTAAAAATTCTGATGCACAGGCTGCACCCCAGACCAATTAAATCAGAGTCTGCGGGTGTGGGGCCAGGCCTAAGCATTCTTTAAAGCTTCCAGGTATATTCAATTTCTATGGCTGCTGTAAGAAGTTACCACAAATTTAGGGTCTTAAAATAACACAATTCACTATCTTATAGTTCCATATCAGAAGTCCAAAAGGGGTCTCACTGAGCTAAACTCAAGGTGTTAGTAGAATTGCATTCCCTACTGGAAACTCTATGGAATAATTGGTTTTCTTACCTTGTCCAGCTTCTAGAGGCTGCCTGTGTTCCTTAGCTACCGGCTTCTGGTTTTTAAAGCCAGCAATGACTGATGAGTCTTCCCCACATTGCTTCACTCGGACAATGACTCTTCTGCCTCCCTCTTCCACATTTTAAGACCCTTGAGATTATGTTGAGTCTACCCAATGTCTATATTTAATTACTCAAAAAATCTATTTTGAAGAGAGTTCATTAGCAACACCAAATCTATCTGCTACATTAATCTTCCTTTGCTGTGTAGTGTAATGTAACATTCACAGGTTGCCAGGATTAGGACATGGACATCTTTGGGAAAACATTATTCTGCTTACCATATCTGATGACTCCAATGTGCAGCTGCGAATAACTATTGGTTGTGCCAGGATTACATGGCTAACACCTGTAATCCTAGCACTTTGGGAGGCCAAGGCAGGCACTTTGGGAGCCCAGGAGTTCAAGACTAGCCTGGACAACATGGTGAAACCTTGTCTCTACTAAAAATACAAAAATTAGTTGGACATGGTTGTGTGCACCTGTAGTCCCAGCTACTCAGGAGGCTAAGGCAAGAGGACTGCTTGAGCCTGGGAGGCAGAGGTGACAGTGAGGCAAAATCACACCACTTCATTCCAGTCTGGGCAACAGAGTGAGACACTGCCTCAAAAAAAAAAAAAAAAAAAAATAACTACTGGTCTACCCAACCCATAAGACGACAGACTTAGAGCAGAGGCCCAGTTAGCAGGCAGCCATGACAGAAGACTGGAGGCATACACTGAAAAGTTGGTGGGGGACAAGGGCAAAAAGGCAGAGGGCAATAGTCAGCCTTAGAAATTTTACATTGTCACAGAACTTTTTTAGGATGGGGGAGGGGGGTGCAGATTGTCATGTGATTTAGTCTCATTCAGTTCTCTGATAGCCCTGGGAAGCTAAATTGTACACTTTCCCAAGGATAATGGGGCCATCCCCACTCAGCTGTAGCCATTAAAGAAAACTGAGGTCATAATACAAGATAAGATTTTCCCAGACTTTTGTAACTCATTGCTATCAGCTTGCTCCTTGTTTTGTACTCAAAGCCTGGGTACATGCCAGATTCTCAGGCATTCTGTAGGCTGTCTCCCCTATAATCTGCCTCTCTGCAAAATAGATTAAATACAGCTTGAAGATGTGTACTGATCGGCCAACACATACAGACACACACACATGATTTCTGACTTCTCTTAAAGACCTAGTTAAGCTGAGACAGTGTTTCTGCAGGACAACTTGGCTGGGACAGCCACTGCCTTTAGAGGGGACATTTATTCTCTGGTTTGCCACAGGTCTCATCCTAGCCTTTTTGTTTTGTACCCGGCTCACTCACTCCACATATATGTTACTTGTTTGATCTGAAGCTTGGCATTGAAGCTTACAACCCACCCCACTCTTCTAGAGCTCTCTTGCCTAAAGTTAGGCAAAATTCCCATAAGGAACCATTCGCCTGTCATTAATGCAAAAGTGAACAGCTCTCCAGTGGAAAAAATGGGATTCAGGCCAATGACTGTCTGTTCATACAAAACTTTTCTCACAATCCAGCAAGCTCCAGAGGGGAGTCAGACTAGGGTTTCAGTAAGCAGCATGCAGCCACCAAGTGTTCTGGTGAACATACTGGTCTCTATTGGTATAAATTTCCTTTGTAGAAAGTTAAGCCAAAAACTGCCTCACTTCTGTCACTTGATCTTTCTCCAGCCTTTGGCACATAACCAATTTTCTTCTTCTTTTTTTTTTTGAGATGGAGTTTCACTCTTGTTACCCAGGCTGGAGTGCAATGGCATGATCTCGGCTCACTGCAACCTCCGCCTCCTGGGTTCAGGCAATTCTCCTGCCTCAGCCTCCTGAGTAGCTGGGATTACAGGCACGTGCCACCATGCCCAGCTAATTTTTTGTATCTTTAGTAGAGACGGGGTTTCACCATGTTGACCAGGATGGTCTCGATCTGTTGACCTTGTGATCCACCCGCCTCGGCCTCCCAAAGTGCTGGGATAACAGGCTTGAGCCACTGCGCCCAGCCTCTTCTTCTTATACCTAAGTCTTGATAATTACCACCCATGAGTGCCTCTTCCCATCTCCAAATGAGGATGCAAAATGTAAAGCTATGCCTAACTCCGTGGACCATTCCCCCTAAGATGTAACGGAGACCTTATCATTCTGATAATGCCTAGAGCTTGGCTGTGCCACTCAAATGTGCTGCTCCAAACTCTGCACAGCATGAGTGATCTCACCAAGGACAGGCAGACTAGCTCCTCTGACTCAGACCCTGGGACTCTATAACCCATCCTAACACTGTGCAAGCTCAAAGATAAGAAAATAGAGTGGTCAGTCACAGTGGCTTATGCCTGTAATCCCAACTCTATGGGAGGCCAAAACAGGTGGATGACTTGAGCCCAGGAGTCAGAGACCAGTCTGGACAACATGGTGAAATTGCCTCTACAAAAAATTAGCCAGGTGTAGTGGTATACACTATAGTCCCAGCTATGTGGGAGGCTGAGTTGGGAGGATCATCTGAGCCCAAAAGGTCAAGGTTGCAGTGAGCCGTGATGGTGCCACTGCACTCCAGCCTGAGTGACAGAGAGACCCTGTCTCAAAGAAAAAAAAAAAAAAGATGAAAAAAGAGGATTTGCCAAGCAAGGTCCTTTGAGGTACACAGACCTGCTGTGAGGGATAATCTTTCCTTTATAGAGTTCCAGGGGAAGACCCTCTCCTAAAGAAAGAGCACCAAGTATTTCCAATGGATAAGATCCAAAAACACTTCTCTACACTCCGTCCTCTCCTTAATGGACTGACACTATTTTCTAAGGATGACAACCTGACTGAAATACAGACAGTCTCTGACTTATAATTTTTCAAGTTTACAATGCATTATCAGGATATTAAATGCATTTTCTACTTACGATGGATTTATCAGGATATAACCCCATCCTAAGCTGAAGAGGATCTGTATGCTTCACCTGAAAGGTTAGGGTGCATTTTTTAAAGGGCCTGTAGAAAGATAAGCCAGGCGATGAATGGTGACAATGCCTATTTTCCATAGCACCGTTCATTAAGTCAACCCTGGTATAATTAGGAAAGACGAAATTCAAGCCAGTCTTGGAATCACTGATTTAATATTTCTCAATAAATGGTTAAGATTGATGTTTCCAGCCGAGTGAAATCTGAGTTTAGATATAGTTTGGGCTTAACAATCCTTTATCTCAGATTAAATGAGACCGTGCTTTAAACCACTTAGAAAAATGCCCAGAACCCATTAAGTTTTATTACTAATGTTTTTGGTCATTCTTAGACATTTTCACTTCTACCACTACTCTTTACACAGAATCTGGCACATAGTTGTCACTCAATGAATGTCAGTAAACAAACACCAGAGACTTTAGTCTGCCAGGTCTCTGACATGCAAAGCCATGAGGCCAGGTCCATACGCTCCCTCCACTGAGTAAAAGACAAATGGCTTAGGCTATAAGGTTTGCATCATCAAGGAAAGCTGTCAAATAATGAAGTGGGTTAGCAGATTCCTAAAAATTGGAACCATTTCAGCAGCGGTTTCATCCACAGTGAGAAACTCTGTGGATGTCTCACATCTATAGAAACTCTACTCTGTTTATAGTCTTTTGGCATCTTGCTCTGCAGTCTCACTTGAGATTACTACTATAGAACTAAGAGAGGAATAAATGAAAAGCAAACCAGTGTAAGTAGAGATGCAATAACATTTGGCTGTCTTGAGTCCTGAAGAACTTGGTATATACTTGTTAAGGCATGCAGCATGTGCTAAGGGCTTCAGTGGGGAATTCTACTCAAAGATATGCTGTAGGAAGCAAAGACGAACCAACCCAAGTGGTACTGAAGAGAACAAGATGGGAAGGACATTTTTATTTTCCCTAATCTTCAGGCAACCTCACCAAGCTGGAGGTCACACGTAGTTAAGTATGAAACCAAGAAAAATATGAAGCTTAAGAGTACTGTGTATTGTATTTCTTCAGTCTCTGGCAAGTTGGGAGTCCAAGGTCAGTCTAGGCAGGAGGGCTGCTAGGCCTAAGCAATCACATAATTTTCACTGTCTTAAGCATATCTGAAAGGACATACGTGTCATCCCAACCCCTCCCAGGCTTCCTCAGGGTCCGCTCCAAAGCCTGGGCTGTTTCCAGGAGCTCTGGTGTGGCAAGTTTTTGCTCAGGGTGCAGCTGACAGAACAGGATCTCATTCACTTCACCCTCAATTCGCCGGACATACAGGAGGGGGAACACTGCCTTGAGCCCAGCCAGCACTGAGTCCTTTAGCCCCAAGTCTCGGCACACGAGGTTGAGAATAAAAACACCTATAGGGTAGGAAGAAAAGTCAGAATGACCTCGCATCAAGACACATATCAAAGACAAGGATCAGCTTTGAGGAAAATGGCAATTCCTTTTCCAGGGACACTGGTGGACTAAAATGCACTTGTGTTGAGTTTGCAGAGAATACACAGCATACAAAGGCAGATGGAAAAAAGCATGGGGAGCATGTAAGCCATAAACAAACTTCAGCCTTATTTTTTGCTCTTCTGTGCTGCTCACACATTATTTTACCATTCTCCACACCTCAGTTTCCCAAAGAATTGCTCTGAGAAAGAAGTGATTCCCAGCTGGACGCAGTAGCTCATGCCTATAATCACATACTTTGGGAGGCCAAGGCAGGCAGATCACCCGAAGTCAGGAGTTTGAGACCACCCTAGCCAAAATGGTGAAACCCTGGCTCTACTAAAAATACAAAAATTAGCTGGACATGATGGTGGACACCTGTAATCCCAGCTGCTAGGGAGGCTGAGGCAGGCTAATCTCCTGAACCTGGGAGGCAGAGGTTGCAGTGAGCCAAAATCCAGCCTGGGCGACAGAGTGAGACTCTGTCTCAACCAATCAATTAATCAATAGAAAGTGATTCCCTACGAAAGTAAAATTTACCAACTCCACAGGGATGTTACATTCCTGACCTATCCAGGGAGAGGGCCAAGGTTACCTTGACTTCTGACAATTAAGATTCCAAATCAAGCCAGTCACTACAGTGCCTTACACCAAATCAAAAATACCTAGAGGGCTGTTAACATAGGGATTAAGGGCTATGAAGATTCACTGCTGAAGACTAAATAACACACTGCCTAGTAGAGTATGTTTAGCAAACATCATGTAGTAGCTAGAATCACCATGCTGGTGGGAGGGTGAACTGCTACAACCACTTTGTAAAACTGTGTGTTAGCATGTACGAAAGCCAAACATACACGTAACCTATGATCCAGCAATTACAACTCTGTGTATATACCCAAGAGATTTGAAAACATAATTCATCAAAAGGCACATATTAGAATGTTAATGGCAGCACTATTATAATAGATCCACACAGGAAACAACCCAAATACCAACAGTAGAATGGATACATGAATTGTTATAAGTCACATGATACAACACAGCAATAAAAATAAGTCATGTAAGCACAACACTGTGAATGAATCTCAAAAACATCACATTGAGTGAAAGAAAAAAATGGAAACTTAAAAAGTACATTCAGCCAAGTGCAGTGGCTCATGCCTGTAATGCCAGCACTTTAGGAGTCCAAGGTAGGAGGACTGCCAGAGGCTAGAGTTTGAGACCAGACTGGGCACACAGTGAGATTCTGTCTCTACAAAAAATAAAAATAAAAAAATTAGCCAGGCATGGTGGCATGCGCCTATAGTCCCAGCTACTCAGGTGACTAAGGTGGGAGGATTCCTTGAGATTAGGAGTTTGAGGCTACAGTGAGCCTTGATCATGCCACTGCATTCCAGCCTGGGAAACAAAGAGAAACTCTGTCGCAAAAAAAAAAAAAGAGAACATTCCAACATTCTGTGATTCCATTTATATAAAGAACAAGAACAGGCAAAATTAAGCTGGATGGACAGAAGTTAAGATAGTGATTACTCTTGGGAGGACAAGTTACCAAAAGGGGCTAAGAGACTTCAGGTGAGCTGGAAATTTTCTGGTGCTAGTAAATAGTTGTATTCAATTTGGAAATATGGATCGAGCTTGCACTTCTCTGCATTTTTCATTAAATGAAAAAGATAAATTAAATTAAATAAAAGATAAATTTTTTTTAATGGTCCCTTCCCTCCTCCCTCTCCATACCTTCAGGAATCAAGATGCTTTTAACCTTCTGTAAGAAAGATTGCTCCACAAATGCTGGAGGTGGACAACTCATTCCCAGTGTTGGGTCCTTACTGTCAACATCAAACATTATGACATCGTAACGAGGCTGTGCTGGGAAAAAGAAGGGAAAGAGTCCTTGTCTTTGCCAGATAAAATAATACCATGTACATTCCTACACTATACTTCCTCTTTACCAGTGATAGGCAGGGTGACTAAGTCAGAAGGATGACACAGAGGATGTGGTTTGCCTGTAAGGGCACTGATGTCATGGCCCTGGGGGTCCTCGTCATCAGGGCTCAGAGTGTCCCAGAGTAAAGATGGAACCTTCTTCCACATTTAAAATCACCCTCCAAAGGCAAAAACATTAATGGGGTCCACTTTAGCATGAACATTTCTTGGTTAAGAGTGTATCAAGACCAGTGGCTTTTGACTCTGGCAGAACATTACAATCACCCTGGGAAGCTTCTAATGTGGACTACACTCCTGACCAACAGAATAAAATATCCTGGGGTGGTGCGGGGGGAAGGCGGTAAATGGGAGGAGAGATGGGAAGCCTCTGGTATTTTTCTTGAGCTTTCCAGGTAATTCTAAATACAGTCAGAGTTGAGAAGCACTGATCTAGACAAAGCAGTTAAGCCTTTAAGGACTGACCCAGTAAACAGTAACTTTTAACTCTGAAAACAGCACATTTTGCCTCATAAGAGAAAATGTTCTGAAATTTGTGTTAGTGTTATCTTTGCAGTTCCATAAACAAGAGCTGACTCAAGAAAGAAATGATTTTGCTAAATGGGTAAGAAAGAACTGATGATGAAATGAATGTGCTCCTTATAATAATGTTAAACTGTTTTTATAAGGGGTAGGTCTGCAATGCCACTGACATATTTTTTAGAAAATTTTGAAACTGTGATAGTAATTATTCAATATAATTAAGTATTTAATTAGGACTGCTGCTTGCTTATCACTGTTCATAGCACAAGATCTAATTTTGGTTTCTTACAAAGAGAACATTTTGGCTCATCAAAGTCCAAGGAAAACAATAGCCTTCATTTGCAGACTTGAGCCCAGTAATCTAAAAGGTTTTGGTGGTTACAGAAGATGGGGGAAGCCATTGAAAACTGATCTACAGATAGCAACAGCAGTTACATCATGCATTAAGTACTTACCATGTGCATGGCACTGTTGTGAATACGTCACCATATTAGTATCTCAACTAATATTAGTATCTCGACTTCACCTCAACTAACCCTAGCCTCAGAGAAGAAACCTATGAAACTGTTATGATTCAATTCAGTTTGCAATTGAAATTAAGATAGCATCTGTTCAATACTCCTCCCAGGCATCCTAGTTTGCCGCACCCTTACTGGAAGATAGTCTAATCCAGTGAGAGCACAGTATCCGTTATGAAATAAGCAGACCAGGAAGGGTGGCCTGAGCTCCCCAGTATAACTACACCAACCTAACTGCCTTCTCCCCCAAGGACTCAAGCTCCAGAAAGCACTATAGTCACCAGCGGCCTATCTATATAATGAGCAGACTTATTGTCTCTAGTATTTTGCAGAAAATTGTTATACTTATGGTTTTTGTCCTAAATCTGGGATGCAAATTACCAGAGTAAATGGAACCTTAATTCTAGTTGCAGAAGGCCTAGCAAAATTCCCACAGAGTAGCATCTGCATCAAGGTTTCTCCATTTCAGAACCGTGGAAATTCTGGGCCAGATAAGTCTGTCATCAGTTCCTGTCCTGCACACTGTAAGATGTTTACTAGCATCCTAGACCTTTACCAGTTAGATGCCAGTAGCAACATCCCCAACCCCGATCTGTGACAACCAAAAACTGTCTGAATACACTACCAAATCTAAGACCCTGAGGTTGTAAACCACTGATCCTACATGAATACTGTTTTGCTCTATTTCTGGCTTCACCTCCAGTTGAAATATTTACAAGAAACACCTCCCAACATACATTCCACCTTTTCTTTTCAATTTCTTTGCCCAGCCAGACTTCAGGTTTCTTAAGAAGGTGAGGAAATGACAAAGTTACAGGTAAGAAAAAAACCCACTGGTCTGTTAGCACCATAAGGGCAGGAATGGCCTGTTTTACTTATTGCTGTTCACATTCTCACCTAACACAGTGCTAAGCATATAGCTGGTACTCTAGTGAATAAGTATATCAACAAATGAGCAAGCTGAAGACTGGAACGATACTCATGTCACTCTCTTAGAGAGAAACTGCAGAGGACCTTGCAGGCCTGACAGTGTTGGATCAATCATCCCTCAACACCCCTTCCAGTGCTCCAAGAGCAGTACCTTCTTCTCCTTCTGCCAGGCTGGCAATATAGTCCAGGCCGTCTGCAATGTGGACCTTCATTCGGTCAGTCTGGGAGAAGCCAAACCACTGGGTGGCCACTTCCAACATGGAGGGGTCGATTTCTACAGTATCAATGCAGGACTTTGGGAAATGATCGTGGACAAAGAGGGGGAGGCTGCCCCCGCCCAGGCCTACAACCAACAATGCCAGTGGGATCTCTGTAAGAAAAGAATAGAGCATGACATTGCCACCTGTTCACCGGAAAATTCTGTACCAGCCTCAGTGAGGCAAAAGGGAAAGTCAACTAATTGTCTCCACTCAGGGGATACAAGATTTAGAGGTCTCCGTATCTCAGTCCAGAAATCTAGGAGTCAATTTGACGCCTGAAAACTCAATCCTGGATTCGTGATGACTAGATCCAGAAGATGAACAGTATGTTATTATTATTGTCTCTTAAAGATCTCAAAGCGGCCAGGGGTGGTGGCTCACACCTGTAATCCCAGCGCTTTGGGAGGCCTAGGTGAGCAGATTACTTGAGCCCAAGAGTTTGAGATCAGCCTCGGCAACACAAAATCCTGTCTACAAAAAGTAGAAAAATTAGCTTGGCATGATGGCACATACCTGTGGTACTGGCTACATGGGAGGCCGAGGTGGGAGCCTGAGGAGGTCAAGGCTGCAGTGGGCTGTGATCCACCACTGCACTCTAGGCCTGAGAAAAAGTGAATCCCTGTCTCAAAAAAAAACACCTCAAAGCAATCAGCTGACATGATCTCAAGAGTCCTCACTATAAGAGTTATTAGACCTCTCGGGGAAATGGGGGGTTAAAAAAAAAAGAGTGATTAGACCTCTCTAGGAAAGGGAAGAGGGAAAGAAGAGTGGCCAAGCAATCTTGGTCTTGATTACAAGGCAGCAGAGATGCAATGCTCCTTGCCCTTGACTCAAAAGGCCACACTGTCTTCTCAGACACCCTCACCAAGCAAGGGTAAGGCATTCAAGTTCCACAAATCACAGGAAAACAAAGGCCCAAATCCTACCCCTAAGCACAGACCACAGCCACCACAGGGGGATCAAGGGAAGACAAAAAACAAAAAAATCACCCAAATTAGCTGGGTGACAGACCCTGAGGATTAAATCTAAGAACTGAGATTCTAGTGACATATATCAACACTAAGATAGGACAACAGAATAGGGTGTTCCAAGAAGGCACATTCAGGGCCTTCAGGGAAAACAGTTATAATCACAGACAGAACCATGAACATTTTTACTAATGCAGTCAGCTCCAAACCTGCTATTAGTGATAAGGCTATGACTGCATTAACATAATATGAATCTTTTTAAAGTACAAATTCAAGATAGAATTGCATCTTTTGTTCAAATAATGCATTACAGAGAAGCTGAACAATTAAAATATGTGTATTTTACATATCTCATTGAATACACTATATACCTTAATTTTAAAAAGAAATGAAGAGAAAAAATACAATGTAGACCCAACGTATTTCAATACAATTTCAATATAACAAGCTGAGTTTTGAGGCAACAGTTACTTAGAATGCTCATTAACTTGTTAGATGGCTGAGATGAAGAAAGATAAAGTTGTCAGTTTGTAATCACTGTTCGACTACAATGCAGGTGACACCAATTAGGTCTACAATCTTTTTGTTTGTTTGTTTTGGTTTTTGGTTTTTCTTTTAGGTCTGTAATCTTTATGCTCCCTTCTGTGGAAGGCAGTGGCATCTCTCTCACCTGGGAGTTGCTCTGGGTTTCTCAACAGGGCAAGGCCAGCAATCATGGCTTTGTGGTGTTCACAACATAGGTAACTCTTATCAATGGACTGCTCTGGGGCTGCAGGGAGGTCCTCTGCTTCAGCAGGCCGCTGCTTCTTCCTGTCCTTTTTCCGCTTCTTCTGGGCTAAACAAGAGATATGAAGTCCTATGCTTAGTACACTAGACCTCAGGAAGCAAGGGTTACCAGCATCACTGTGCTCCAGATGGCTTGAACACACTCAAAAGACCCAATTGTTAAAATTTTGCAAACTGGCTAACATCATGTTAATATCTTGAAACTGGCTATAGTAAAACAGTTTGGATGTTTGTTCCCTAGAAATCTCATGTTGAAATGTGGTCCCCAATGTCGAAGCCACCATGATGGTCATGGGGGCAGATCCCTCATGAATGGCTGGGTGCCTTCCCCACGGTAATGAGCAAGTTCTCCCTCTAGAGCTGTTGTTTAAAAGAGCCTGACATGTCTCTTGCTCCCTCTCTTGCCATGTGATGTGCCAGCTCTCACTTCACCTTCTGTGACAATTTTAAGCTTCCTGAAGCCTCATCAGAAGCAGATATTGGTGCCATGCTTCTTGTACAGTCTGCAGAACCATAAGCCAAAATAAACTGCTTTTCTATACAAATTGCCCGGCCTCAGGTATTCCTTTATAGCATGTAAAACACACACAGTGGTGGTACTTATACTAGACAACTGATAAACACTATAAATCAGGATTTGCCCCCCAACACCACATCACAAAGAGAGAGTTATTAAACATTTAACATATACACTGGATACAAGGAAGTTGGAAAAGGAAATGGCAAATGCACCCTCAAAAACCTGGGAAAACTCAATTGAGGAGCCCTGGTACCTACCCTCTGAGAAATGTAAGCCCACTAACAAAAGAAAAGATTACTTATAGTCTTTTAAAGAAAGATAAAGTTCCTAATCACTCCCTATGTGCCAATTACTGTACCAGAACTTTTATTCTTTAAGCTCTTCTAACAACCTTATCATTCTAGTTCTTGGCAAATGAACACACTGAGCCACTGAAGTGTTAGGTAAATAGAGAATCAGCAGATAGTGCAGGATTTGAACCTCGGACTGCCTGTCTCTATCACCAACTAACTTTCTGTTGTGCCACACAGGTAGCACTACTGACCTCTGTTGAACAAGGAAATCACAAATATTCAAAACAGGAAAGAAATCCTAAAAAGCCACTCCATTTTCCCCCTCCCCACTCCCTTCACTGCTCCAGGGTATCATACTAAATGGATGGCTGTGTCTTCATAGGGATCAGCTGCATTTCCCAGCAGCAAAAGGTAATGATGACTGGGGTCCGGGTGCTTTTCAGAGATGTTAAATCACTTTTTAATATGCTCTCCTTCTTGCTCACCAATACTTTCCTGAAGGAGGGTGTTCTTTCCATGAGATCAAAGTGCTAACAAGAAGTCAAGGAACATGACCATGGTGAAAAACCTGAAATCCAAACTGAAAGCGGCAAAATATTCTTTTAAGCAATTTTACTAAGATTTTAGTGAGATGAAACTGAACCACCCTACAGCCAGAGTGACCACACAATATGGCAGAAACCCAACAGTCTTGGGTGCTTTGGCCAGGGGAAACCCCTAAAGTAAAAAAAACATTTCACAGGTAACTTGATCCTAGACTCAAGGACAAATCCATGACCTCAAGCGTCTGAATTCTTTCTCTCCACTATCCTCCCAGATGGCCTTGTTTTGAGGACAGCCCAGTAAGGCAAAGGGAACAACTGGGAATCAGGAGAGCCATTTCAGCTTCCATCCTTGGATCTCTGTGCCTCACTGGGAAGATGCACTGGAGACAGAGAGGGGAGGGGCGTTCACTTGTCACTCTCTACATTTGACTTTTGAAGTGGTTTCAATGAGCAAGTACTGCTTTTAAAATACAAACTGACACAGCTTGTAAAAAACACAGGTAAAACAAACTGTTGATTCCCCATCAGAGGGAGTTTCTGAGTGTCAGCTGGGAGACCACTTAAAGGGATTCTAGAGGAGATGGTTTAGATCTATACTATCCAATACCAGCCACTAGCCCCTGTGGCTAACTGTAAATTAATCAGAATTAAAGAAAATTAAAATTCAGTTCCTCAGTTATACCAGTTACATTCCAAATGCTCAGCACTACATATGGCTAGTTGCAACCACACTGGAAACTCCAGTACCAAATATCTCCTTCATCACAGACAGGTCTAATGAACAGCACTATGTTCATTAGATGGTCTCTAAGTTACTTGAAAACACCAAAACCCTCTGAAACAGGTGAGTCACACTATGGCGTTGGCTCACCTGCAACTTCCATGGTTCTGGCTCACCTCAGAGGCCTATTGAAACAATATAGAGATGTACATGGAGCACCCACAAAACAGATGCCTTTAAACTGAAGACATTAATGCGATTATCACATGTATTTGGTTTCACTACCCACGTCCCTTATCACTTCAGAGCCAGGCTCTGCTCAAGAGCAGAATGTACTATGCTTATCACTACTCACACCTTAAGATTCCAGATGGTTAAGAACCCACAGACACCCAGGTCCATCCTACATCTCGGCCAAGCTCCCAGGAAATCTAGTCCATGCCACGGCCACTTGGGTCCCACCACCGTGCCCCATGACACCTCACCTCTGTGAGACACATCCTTCAGCAACCTGGCTTCTGACTGCACCACATTCCTGTTGCTGAGGAAGATCAGTCGCCGGAAGAATCGCTTGTCATCCCCTTGCACGTCCTCGATGACATAGTCACCACTCAAGGGGCTGCAGTCTTGGTGCTGAATGGTCCGGACCCCAATGTCCCCCCCCACAGACAGAAAGGGCACCTGAAGGTACAACCAGAGATGTGGTCAAAACAGCAGCTCATTTAAGAAGTAAGACAAATTATAACCCCTTCCCTTTGTATCTATATATCCCCATCCCATGGTTCTAGACAACAACTACTCCAAAGATTTGCCATTCTATTAAAGTACTTTTCTAGAGCCTTTGAACAGATCTCAAAGGTTTAACTCATCTTTTGAAAATCAACTGAACACATAAAGATCTCCCAAAGCTGGTTCTCCCCAAGTTCTTTTAGGGGTTTCTCATCAGTAATCCCTAAAAGAACTCTCAATAATCCAGGATAACAAAAGCTAGAGAGAACCCTCAGGAAGGGGCTGGGATTATGAGAAGGAATCTGTACAAGAATAAAGATAAAATCCATGAGGGAAACAACCACTCCAAATCTAGATTAATTTTCCTTGCCCCTAGTTACTCTCATCTATTTTTTCCCCATTTTTCTAAACCTTAGGAGAGAAATACACTTTCCCCCTTAACTTTCCCACTCCTTCACCCTATCTTTATATCCGTTTGTTTTTTAAAAAGACCTGTAAGACTATTTAATAATCACCAGAATCTCCTGACCCTGCAGACTCAGGCACTGATGAGAAGTCACAAGCTCCCCAGAGGATCTGGGATTCCCTGAAATAGGGGTCATCAACCCCAAAATTGGCCAGGAAAAATCAAACACACATTCATCTATAAACACAAGTCAGCCTAGTGAGCAGAACCACAGGCCAGGAACCCAGGAGCCTGGGTTCTTGTTTTCAGATCTGTTACTATTTGCACCAAGCCTCTAGACACTGTTGCTTTCCCAGCTATCACGAAGGATCAAAATTTGGGTAACATAGGGAGACCCTGTCCCTATAAAACATGTAAAAAAAAAATCTAGCCAGGTAAGGTGGCTCACACCTATAGTCCCAGCTAATACTGGAGGCTGAGGTGGGAGGATGGTTTGAACGCAGGAGGTTGAGGCTGAGGCTGCGGTAAATCATGATCACGCCACTGAACCCCATTCTAGCCCAGGCAACAGAGCAAGACCCTATCTCAAAAAAGGATCAACTCCTCATCATGAAGTTCTTGCAGTAAAATCACTTGTCCATTACCCATGGTGACCAGGATAGCACAAGATAGCTGGTGTTAAATGATAATACCATATCACCATTTGGGTAAAAACCTTCAGTTTCCTTCCCAGTAAAACACCTGACCAGCAATGCGAATACCTGGATAACTGTGCTGAGCTGTTTTGGCCCTTTCCCATGTATACCCTCAGATAATGATAGTTCTAAGAAGCAAAATGACCAAGAAAGTCCAGTTCAAAAAGTGTGGAAGGAGAAACCCACAGTCAGAGCAACTCAAATCAGAAAGAGCTAGAGCCCACAACGTGTACAGCATTTCTTTTCTGCCGCATCTATGGAGTCTGAGAGGTCCCCCACACACTAATGCTACTGTGCTCACTTTCCACTCATTGCCTGGGGCAAAGGACGGTGCTTCCCTGCCATTTAACCCTTAGCTGCTGATATGCCTCCAGGATTAGACAAGGACTCTAGCCAAGGCTCCCTCTGACTCCCTGGCTGCTAACATGACTTCAGAGACCCATGAAAGCTGCTACAAAAGCTTTGTTACCTGCTGCTGGGCAGGCATCCCAGCTGGTGCTAACTCCATGACTCTAGCCGACAGCTCGGCTTGGATGTGGTCCATGCTTTCATACTGCTGACCTCGGTGAAGGGCCACGGTAATCAGCCTCCTGAAGCCAGCACTGGCTGCCAGCTGTTTCCGGCCCTCGTCCATGCCAAAGAGCCACTCAGTCTCCCGGCCCTGGGGGACTAGAAAAAGAAACTTGGTTACAGGGAATCCTGGAAACAGTGTTCAAGCCCACAACCAATATGGCCCCAAAGGCCGAAAGCCAGTCCCTGTCCAAGACCAGCATCTTCCCCAACTGTGACCCACTGAGAAACTATCAATTCTCTAGTTCACAACACCTAGGGCAAAGCAGCCCATCAGACATGAGGCAGGACCAAGTGTAAAGAAGTGTGGGCATGTCTAGAGGGGAAGGAGGCAAGCACCTACCACAACAAAAACAGCAATAATGCCAATACTAATAAGTCATGCCAGGCATGGCTCCACGCAGCTGACAAATATAAATTAATGGAATCCCCAACAGCCCAAGATGTAAGTAGTAATATTATTCCCATTTTTACAAATAAGGAAATTGAGAAACAGAAGTTACACAATTTGCCCAAGTTCAAACCATAAGTAAATGGCAAAGCTGGGACTCAAACCCAGGCAGTCTAGCCCCAGACTCTCTACCCATGCTTGTATTCACTGCACTATTTATTTCCACAAGTGGACAGATAGAATTATAGAATACTTAAAAAACTGGCTTAGTCACCAGGAAAAAAATTACCATAACACCATGACCATAAACACTTTGCCTTTGTCTAGAATGTTCTACTTTTGAAAGCATTTCCTCATAGTGACTTTCAGATCCTTATTAAGGTAAATCTGATATCCCTTACTGCTTTCAATAATAATGACTAACATTTACACAGCATTTCCAAGGTCAAGTACCATTTCTAAGAGCTTTTATACTTCTCACAACTACACCAGAGTTACAATCCCACTTTATAGATGAGAAAACCAAGGCAGATAAAAGTAACCTGTCTAATGTCACACCATCAGGAAGTGACTGAGCCAAAACTGAAACCCAAATAGCCTGGTTCTAGAGCTCACTTTTTTTTAGCTGCTGCCCTATACTGCCTCTGTAAATTTTGCAAAGAAGCACAGCAACTTCCCCAGGTCCTGCAGCTCACAGGCTACAGCTGGGAATAGAACCCATGTCTTATGCTAGCTAATCCAGCATTACTTCCATTACTCCATGCTACAAAGTCAATTAGCATCTATATGTCATATGTGGCCTCCTAAATTTATTTCTATTCTCTCTCTTTCCTACCAACCCCATTCTCACACTTCATCAAGTCTTTGCAATGGAAGATGAGAAGAAATAGGTCTCAACTGGAAGTAGGTTGCTAGAGAGCTATTACTCCCCTTTCATCATGCCTGAGGTAGTCTAATCCTCTGGAAGTACAAACCCCTGCAAGATAAAAACAGTCAAGAATCCCACCAAAGCCCCAGCCCAGCCCCAGCCCCAGCCCCCAGCCCCTGTAAGCCAGCCCCTCCAGAGAAGAGAGGGAGCAATCCCAACTCACTGATGAAAATCGCAAAATGATTGTCCCGCGATGGTTTCACAGTGGGGCTGTCCACCACGTGGAGGGTGTAGCGTGGCTCCCCCGTGTCCCCATCGCACAAGTCCAGAGACACACTCCCCAGCCTGGCCTTGCGGCGCAGCTGGCTGCACAGCCAGGCATACTGCTGCCGCTCCCGCACCGCTTCAGCCAGCCGCTCGGCACTCTCCAGCCGCATAGGCTTGCCCTGCTCCTGAGCACACAGCTCAAAGATCTGAAGGGCAGAGCCAGGGACTGGCCTGAACTTGGTCATGATGAAGGCAAAGACAGGCAAGGAGAACTGAGACTCTGCTTCCAACACCTGGTCCTGGCTGTTGGCCACTTGGTGCACCCTCACCATCCACCCCTCCCGGGAGAAGTGACCCACTGCTTTCTTCAGGATGTGAGCCTGAGCCAAGGAGATGCAGAGGTAGCGACCGCCCACCTGCAGGACACGGCCAACCTCAGCCAGCATCCTGTCCACCTGTTGCAGGGTCTTCTCTTCCTCATCTGTCAGGACAGCATCCAGGGTGCCCTTGTCCAACACCACCTGGAACGAGGCATCAGGAAACTCCATCTGCATCATGTCCATCTTCAAGAATCTCATCTGGGGCCGACGGGTGGCATTGCATTCCTTCATTTGCTTGATGACAACCTCACTGATGTCGATGTTCACTATATCCTGATAGCCCACATCATACAGTTGCTCACTCAGTTCTGAGTTGCCACACCCAATCACCAGCACCTGGAGAAAAAATTCACAAGAGGGAGGTAATTAAAGCAAAGGACTGTGCTTCAGGTACTTCAAGGAATCAACTCTCACCTTGGCTGATGCACATTTTCAGAAGGTGGAGATGCTAAAGAGCAACATTGTAGAGTTGATTCTAGACTCTATCTTGAAACACCACATATATTTGCTATGGAAAACCACATTCAGCTACAATACAGCTTATATGAAAATGGGCTTTGTGTTGCAGAAACAAATTAATCATGGCTGTTCTTTTCTTTAAAACATGCACTTATTACTTGGGAATTAATAGTAAGTCAAAGAATCCAAATACAGAGTTACAGTTGAAATCCTGGAGCTGGAATAACCCTATTTCCTCAATCCACTCAGGTCTTAGGCTCCACTAGACAATAAAGTACGCTTTGTGATGATTCAAGCCTCACTTCTGTCACAGATTCTATCTCATGATTGATACTTCGCTATTTTCTGAAGCCAAACTTAAAATTCAGGTTGTTATCTCCTTCTCCATTCATCCTCAGAAATTGATTTACCATCTCTGGAAAAGCATGGTACAAAGAGATGTACATATGCTTTGGAGCCAGACAGACCTGAATATAAATCCCCACATGACCACTTACTAAATGTATGATCTTGGGGAAAAAAAAAGGCTCTCGGGGCCTCAGTTTCCTCAACTGTAAAACGCATACATGGCCACTCACCTGAGTTTATGATGAGAATTCAGACTGCACATACACAGCACCCAACATAAGGCCTGGCACATAAAGCTTTCCCACAATGTTAGTTTTCTACCTTTCCTCCTTCCCTACCTTCAGTACTATCTCACCTATACCAAACTCGTTATTGTACTTATCACAATTCACCTGTGGAACACGTACAGGGTTTATGTCTTAAAGCTCTTATAGCTTAAGGACTGAGCACAGTGCCTGAAACTCAAGAACTCAAAAACTCTTTGATAAACAAATTCATACACAAAGTCACACCTGCTGCAGGTTGCACAGAAATGCACAGTGAGAGAAGAACACACTTTGAGGAAGCCATATCTGGGTTGAACTACTAAGGAAGTCACTCTTCAAGTAGGGTTATTAATCCAAGAATGAGCTGGAGTGGGAGGTCTATTAGCTGAAAACCTTACAAAAAAAAAAATTTTTTTTTTTAATAGGGTCTCACTCTGCCACCCAGGCTGGAGTGCAGTGGCGTGATCATGGCTCACTGCAGCCTCGACCTCCTCGACTCAAGAGATCCTCCCGAGTAGCTGGAACTACAGACGCGTGCCACCACGCCCAGCTAATTTTTTCGTTTTTTGTGGAGACAAGATCTCATTATGCTTCCTAGGCTGGTCACTAACTCCTGGGCTCAAGCGATCCTCCCACCTGGGTCTCCCGAAGTGCTGGGATTATAGGTATGAGCCACCGCACCCGGCCTGAAAGAATATTTCAGCTTATCTTTCAGCAGGAATGATGCAGGAAATGCTGAAATATGCGTCCAATTAGGGTCCCATTTCCCCTCCTGTCACTGTTCACCAACTACAAGATTCCTGTTACTAGTTCCCACCTTCGGGAGCACGTACGAAGTGCTTCCAGGCCGCGCTCCTCACCTTTTCTCTGGGCTTGATATATTTGTGTAGCACCCCGCACAGTTCCAGGTAGGTTCCATACCACTCGAAAGCTTTCTTTCCACGCTGCTGGAAGAACTTCTCCCAGTAGTCAACGGAGCCAAACTCCTTGGTACTTTTAGGTAAGAGGTTCATGTTCCTACTGCCGGAGCTGCGTCTTCAAGACTCCCCTACTCCCTGTGAGGCATCTGAGGAGCTTGCCCACTACACGCAGGCTAGGGGATACTGCAGTGGAAATTCTTTCCACGGAAAAAGTCACATTGATTTGTTCCCCCACTCCAAACCCCACGGATGACCTTTACACGACAAACGCACGTGCGGGTCACTAAATCTCACAGACGCTCGCCCTCTCCTCCGCGCCTGCTGTCCCTGCCCCACGTGAAGAGCCTCTCACGCTTTCTCCGAGCTAGATTTCCCAGTCCAGCAACCAGATCCGGTTTCGAGGCCTCGTGATTGGTCGGCCGGCCCATCCCATCCCAGCTAGTCATTGGTCGCTGCTTTGCGTTTCTATCATCTCATTGGCTGCGACGTGTACGCCTTTCGCCGAAGGCTTCGTCGCAGGCACAAAAAAGATTTTTTTTTTACGTGAGGCCGGCCGACCAATCACGGGGCGGGGCAGGGGGGGACCGCGGGCCACAGTAGGGGCGGAAAAGGCCGAGCCTCCGTCAGAACGAGGTCATATCCGGGTTCCGTGTGAGGGCTGCTGTGCTGGGGCCACGCCCTCCCTCCAGGCGGGGCGGAGAGCGCGCGGGCTTTCCGGGTCCGGCGTCCGCCTGGTCTTGTAGCCGACTTAAATCACCTCCTCAGATCGTGCGCCTTACAGGGGCTGAGCATGGCAGGTGGGAAGCGCACTGGTATAGGAGGCCCTAAAAAGAAAAACCGTACAGATGGGAGGAAAGTGAGGCAGAAAATGAGTAAAGCCAGTCCGTCGTAAAAACGCTGCACATTGTAACCATGTTAGCTTCTGCACTCCATCCCCCCGCCTTATTTTGCCCCCTCTGCACCAAAATACAGGATTCTGTTACCAAAGTATAATAACGTGAAAATTCAGGAGGAAATAGTAACAGCTAGGCATTCATTGGTGCCTCCTCTCCCTCCTGTCCCTTCAAAGCACAGTATGCAAAACGTCAGTCTTTCATTTTGATAATTGGCCTCGTTATTCTGACGTTATCTGTAACTTTAATTTATGTTTGATAAACATACTGTACTTTCAGATGCTGATGCTAATACCCTGAGGAAGTTTCTGTGAAGGGTACTTTTTTTTTTTTTTCAGAAAGGGCCTCACTCTGTCGCCCAGCCTGGAGTGCAGTGGTGCAATAATGGCTCACTGCAGTCTCCACCTCCCAGGGGTCAGGGGATCTTCCCACCTCAGCCTCCCAAGTAGCTAGGACTACAGATGCATGCCGCCACACCCAGCTATTATTATTATTTTTTTTTATAAATGGGGTTTTGCCATGTTGTCCAGGCTGGTCTAAAACTCCTGAGCTCAAGTAATCAAATCACCTCAGCCTACCAAAGTGTTGGCATGACTGGTGTGAGCCACAATGCCTGCAAGCACTATTTGAAAATGACTAAACGTGTATCATTGGGCCTTTCACACCATGATAAATGCAGGAGGAATATACAGATTGAGGCGAGCAGATAGATTTAGAATGCAGCATGTGTACTATGGGCTGTTATATACCACACTAGCACAGGTAGATAGCCAGGTAGACTGTTAATTGTTAAGTAGGTTAGATTGGACTTAAACGTTGGTTTAAAAGAGTGATTCTCAAACTGGCATGCATCAGAATCACCTGGAGGACTTCTTAAAACAGAATTTTCCGAGTCCCACCCACAGTTTGCAGTCATTAGTTCGGTGAATTTGTGTTTCTAACAAAAGTTCCCAAAATGCTGCTGATCTTGGTCCCGGAACCACACTTTGAGAACCACTGTTTTAAAATACAATTAAGAGATAAGTCAAAATGGGTATGGTTCCAAATTCGCAATTTTCAATGGTTAATCTAAAAGCTTTGCACAAGTAACAAAAGAAAATCTGTTTCCATGCTCCCCTTGCTGAGTTCACATTGTTCCTCTCTACTCAAGATAAAGAGGAGTCCTTGAAGTAGCTTCAGCTGCTACATCATGCACAGTTCCGAATGGGTGAAATGTGGATTCTTTAGGAAGCACTTATTGAGAACTGAGGACATCACTTGTGCTGAATGTGCTACACAATACCAAAGAAGCAAAACACCATAGCAGCCAGGCACGATGGCTCACACCTGTAATCCTAGTACTTTGGGAGGCTGAGGTGGGTGGATCACTTGAAATCAGGAGTTCGAGATTAGCCAGGTTTCACACGGTGAAACCCTGTCTCTAATAAAAATACAAAAATTAGCTGGGCGTGGTTGTGTGTGCCTATAGTTCCAGCTACCCAGGAGGCTGAGGCAGGAGAATAGCTTGAACCCAGGAGGTGAAGGTTGCAGTGAGCAGAGAAATCGCACCACCACACTCCAGACTGGGTAACAGAGGGAGACTCTGCCTCAAAAACAAAAACAAACAAACAAAAACCATAGTAGCTGCTCTGTGTACCCCCAAAGCTTTATTCAATTCAATTCAACGAATATGTTAATTGTCTAATAAGAGCCAATCACTGTGGTAGAAGCTAAGGATGCAGTGGTAAGCATGGTAATCACGTGGAAGGCACATTAAACAATTACAAAAATAATTTGTAATGGGGGTTATAAGTGCTGTGAAGGAGAGCCATACCATTCCATGGTAGGATATATCTTTGTGACCTCTACTGATCTAGGGGGTGACCAGAGAAGGCTTCTCTGAGGAAAGAACAAAAATATATAATCTGACTGCTTATATCAGCAAGACATAGGTTAAAAAAAAACAAGAAGCATGCATGGTTCACCCTCTGGAACCTTTACAAGAACTTTTGACTGCTGCTTTTCCCTCTGTCTCCATTGTTTGTTCTGTTAAGGGCATGTTACTAGAAAAGACAAAATTATTGCTATCGCAGCCCAGGCTCTAGCCCCTTATTTGATGCTCTAAAAGTATGATTACTGTTTCGGCAGTATTTTTCAGACCAAGAGGGCAAGTAACTTACTTTTCTCCATCTGTGCCTGCCTCCCTTCTGTGAGCATAAAAAAGCAGTAACAACCACAACATTTTAAGCTAAAAATACTAGAGATTTTCTAAAATTGTAAGAATAACACAGAAATATTTTCGATATATTGTAACATTAGACCCTAGCATTAATCGTTTAAAATACTTATTTGAAGCTTATTTCTCTCAATGTTTAACTATGAAATATAATTTTTAGGTATGTGTTATTATTAGTATACTTAGTTAATTTAAGCCAATTAGATAATAAAATGCTTTTATGTTTTATTAGGATCCCAAGTGGTTACCATATGATTTAAAATGCAAGCTAAATTTAGATAAAGCCATTCAGTACCGTGGAGTATTTTTTCTAAAAATATAAATCCAGACCTCTGGATATATAATTTGCAGTCAGACTTACTTAACTAAAACATACTCATAATTTTGGTAACAATATTCAATTGATTATTGCTATGATTAATTTCAAAATAAGAAATAGGAAATAAAAAGTATCTCTGACAATTTGGGAGGCAGAGGATGAGAGAGGCAAAATAATGCTCCCCCTGCAAAGATGTCTACCTCCTAATCCCCAGAACTGAAACTGTAAATGTGTCAGGTTACAAGGCAAAGGAGAGTGAAGGTTGTAGATGCAATAATGGATGCTACTCAGCTGAAGTAGTGAGATTATCCAACTAAGCTCAATGTAATCACAAGAGTCTCCCTTTTTTTTTTTTTTTGAAACAGAGTCTTACTCTAGTAAGACTCTCTTATAGTCTGGAGTGCAATCTGGACTGTCTGGAGTGCAGTGGCACGATCTTGGCTCACTGCAACCTCTGCCTCCGAGGTTCAAGCAATTCTCTTGCCTCAGCCTCCTGAGTAACTGGGATTACAAGCATGTGCATGCCCAGCTAACTTTTGTCTTTTTAGTAGAGACGAGGTCTCACCATGTTGGCCAGGCTGGGCCACAAGGGTCCTTTAAAGTGGAAGAGGGAGAGACAGGAGGGCTTGGCCCAATGTTTCTGGTTTTGAAGATGAAGTCAGGCCACCATGAACCAAGGAAAGGGGTTGGCCTCTAGAAGCTGGAAAAGAAATGGACTCTCCTGTAGAGGCTCCAGAAGAAACACAGCCCTGTTGACACATTGATTTTAATTTATTGAGACTTGTCAGACTTCTGACTCACCCAACTGTAAGAAAATAAATTTGTATTTGCATATAGCACTAGTTTTTGGTAATTTGTTACAGTAGTGATAGGAAACTAATACAGAGCATAAACGAGAGAGAGAGAGAGAGAATGAGAGGAAGAGAGAAGAATGTGTGGTTGAGGTTTTTGAGGAGTCTTCAATTCCACATATTTAGCTTCGGGCTGTCGGGCCACAGGGAGTCAACAGAGAACCAGGGTCATGACAGAAAGACCTGATCTGAGAGATGTTCTCAGGAAAGACTGAGGTGCTTGATGACTGACTGAACAGGGGGAGTAAAAGACTGAGGGACTCATAAATGGCTACCATATTGGCCTCTGGATGACTGAGGAAATAGTCTGTAGAAAGAAAGGGGGAAGGAGAAAGGAGTATTATTTGTACAATTGTTACTTGAAAAGAATTTAGAGGTTATCACTCCAGTAAAAACCAGAGCCAGAACTAAAAGCCAGTCTCCCCACCCTGCATGCCTATCCCACGGCTCATACACTTCTCACTTCCTGTCAGTAGTAGGTCCAAGACATTAAAATGTTTCATGAGTGGGATATAAAATTGAGTAAAGGGAATCTCTCTTTAGTATACAAGGAGTGGCTCATATAATGCCAGAAGCTATTTCATATTGGAAATTATCTTAGGAATGGGTTTGTTTTCCGTATTTGAGAATTTTAAAAATGAATGATCTCCTGTGTCTTGGGATAATGGAATGCAGGCATAATAACATACTAGGGTAACATTATGCCATTTTATTAGCTGAGTGTTAACACTTTTCTTGACAATACTGTTGACCTAAAAAGTGACTATTGAGCTGATACTGGATTCCTAAGATTGGAATGATCATAATAGCTACTTATTTATTTATTTAAGACAGGATCTTCCTTTGTCAACCAGGCTGGAGTACAGTGGTGCAATCACAGCTTACTGCAGCCTTGACTTCCTAGGCTCAAACAATCCTTCCACCTCAGCCTCCTGAGTAGCTGGGACTACAGATACGAGCCCCCATGCCTGGCTAATTTTAAAAAAATTTTTTTTTTCTAGAGGCACGGGGTTTCTGTATGTTGCCCAGGCTGCTTTCAAACTCCTGGCTTCAAGGAATCCTCCCACCTCAGCATCCCAAAGTACTAGGATTACAGGTGTGAGACACCATGCCCAGACCATAATAGTATTCTTTAGTTTGTATAGCACTTGTGATTGGCCAAGAATTTTTCTCATACATTACTTTGAGTTCATGGGAAGGAGGTTCAGAGCTGCAGAGTTAATTTTCACTCTGGCAGCGAATCTCTTTGGGAGATTGTGCCAGCCTTATACAAGATTAACAAATTAGTATCAACGTGGATGATTACACACTGCTTTCTTATATATGTAAACATATATATACCTATACATATGTAATTGAGGCAAAATTCCAATTGACTAAAAATAAGTGAAAATAGTTATATAAGACTGAGCGAATTCAGCCATGACTGCCTCTGGGTATCATATTTGATTCCCAGGGTTTTCTTTGTGCAGTAGTTTCCCACTTTGTCACTAAGGGCATCTGGTGATGGATGGGTTTCCTCATATGCATGGACCGAACGACATTA